AAAAACAAATTTGTTGTAGAGAAAGATAGATGGAAGGTTTTATAGAAGATATAAGATAAATAACAGAGGAAAGGATAGCTCGACAATTGAGTAGTGTATTAATATGTATCAAATCGTATATTTAAAGACTCAATTTTTGATCTTTAATAAAGTTTCTCAGACTTCGATCTCTTATATACTTGAAATCTTACACTTATAAACCTATCGAATTCTCACTGTTATCACCTTGTTATCTTGTTAAATTATAGTGAATACATCTTTACAGCATTATTTTTAATCATTTATCATGAATACACCTTCACGGTCCTATTGAATCTCTTATTTGACATTATTTAAATGTATCCCATAATGATACCAGTTAACTATCGTTAGTAATCATTAAAATTACTTAAAATACCCATATTATTGTTAAACTCGTTATAATTAATTAAACTATACTGCCCTATTTATTTAACTATTAAATCATCCCTTGATTATAATTATTATTAATTAGTCTATATCCGACCTATTTCTATATAAATAACCACCATTTCTTAATTAATATACCCATCGTTTACTATTGCTGATCTAACCTTAGCCCTACTTTTCTGAAAATCTGATAGTAACAACGAGTTAAATCACTAATCTCAGATCAGTCTGACAAAACAGAACAAGCGAAAAAAAGAGAAAAATGTGAAAATACAAGAAACGGTAGTCAAAATCTACTTTAGTGCATTAATAAAAAATGTCGGGGAGGCAATTTACATATATATTTTCTTTAATATTATCTCAAAATGGCCCTAACCAGTGTCTGAAATTCAATTTTTAATTTAGTTGCGGGCTGCAACTAAATAAAAAACTTTACTTGCGAATTATATAGATTTAGTTGCGCATATGAATGTATTTATATGCAAATTCGAACATATCTATATGCAAATTCACAAAATTTATTTGCAGAACCAGCATATACATTTCAGATTTTAGTTGCGGAAACTTATAAATCATTTGCGGTTCGCAAGTTCCACAACTCAATTTCAGACACTGGCCCTAATCCTAATATTTAGTTAAATTATGCAAATTTCAAAACTCACTCTACTTTAGCAGACCTCCAAATAAGAAAATTTAAATTTGAGTCAGTAAAATTGGTCCATGTATCGAGCAGCTATTAATTTTATTCATGATAATTTGTGTGCAAGTATAGAGCACTTATTATAATAATCGAAGTACGAGAATTGACATAAGTAAGGCCCCATTTTCACTTGTAATATATCAAAATTTATTTTATAATACTATATAATATAATATAAATTCATTATATGAGTATCGTTAAAAAAAACCCTGAAAATTTAAATATGACTTATATTTAAATTTTCAGGTTTTCTTTTAGCGATACTCATATAATACAAGACTTAGCACCAATTATACAGTATTAGCAAATTGTATTATTGACTCCTATCCGAATTCAAAACATTTGTAAGATTGTCAAGATATTCTTGAAGAGCCGAAACAAAATTAGGACCTAATGTATCTTCTATAGTGGTAGACTGTGATCGTGATTGCAATATTTGTGTATTAGGTTTAAGAGCTTGAGTTAGTCCAAATGACGGATATGTGGGTGGTGTGTCTAAATCGGTAATTTTCATCTTCTAAATAAAATGATCAGTACGAATTTACCATTACTCAAAATGCTGTTTTAATAATGTCCCATATATTTTAAAATTACTGTAATTTATAATCATACTATGTCTCGAGACCACAGATGAAGACAGGCAGGGTTAAGAGGGAGGTGTCGATCATCTTCTATATAGCATAGAGTATTATGGATACCGCACTGATACTTGGAGTGAAGTTGGGTGATGATATTAGCAAGTTCGACTTCATTATATGACAGTCTTTCTTCTTTTGGCAAACGATCACCTTTTTTTGCTTTTTTAGTTTTGGGTTTTTCTTCATTAGAATCAGAATCTTCGATATTAATTATCAATGAACCCTATAAATATTAGGGTTTCAAAGTTAAAATCAGAGAATCTAATTTTCTTTTTTCAATTTATTATTCAACATATTAATATCATACCTTAGCTTTTTTTTTTCTTTTTTTTATATCGGATTTAGCGTAACATACAGAACCATATTTTTAGTTGATTTTTTTAATTTTTGGCTTTCATTTATAAAAGCATCGTAATCATCTTTATCCTCTAACGCTATTTCTTGCCCACGGCCATTTACTTTATAAGTAGTTTTAATATTATCTTTATCAATGTTATTATTATTAGTACAGGTACACTTATTACTAATATGATCAGCAAGTTGGTTATGAAAAATAAAAAATTTATCTGCATTAAAAGTAAACCATTTAGCAGATAGTGTGGTAGAATTTTCAACTTGAACTATAACCTTTACTTTTAATTGTAAGCAAGAAGAACTTTTCTTTGATGAAGCTGAAACATCATCATCACTATAGTTATCATCATTATCATCATCATCGCTAGTACCTGTATCTTCAGAATTCTTAACACGTTCATACTGCGAATGATACGCAGAGCAAAAAGTAAGATGAAATGATATATCAAAATTACAATTATAGGCATAGATATGGTTACGACTTTGAAGCAACAGTTTTTGATTAGATGAGGTTTTATAAGGATCATATATTCGACTGTAAATTTGCTGTGAATTAGTCTTAACACGAGAAGGCTTTATGTTATAATCACATTCACATAAGTCCATAGTGAGGTCAGTAAAACAAAACATGCACTTCTGGCATGAAAAGCATGTACCAATCTTGTAGTTATGTGATGACATTTTTTATTTTTTATTTTTTTGTTTTTTTTACAAATTGATGATTTAAATATTTGCAAAAATCAATTGTTTAAAGACTAGGAGCTCTGAATAAATACAGTGATAATAATTTATTTTTTTTTTAAAGCTTTATTAAATCCATCACCAACCCTACTAAATATATAACAATTGTTATATGCTATCATGCTATAAGAAACAGACCCCATACAACAATGAGTTCGCTAGCGACTACCAAAAGTACGATCACATTATCTGCATTATTGCCACAGCCATATCTTAGTAACCAGTATATTGCTTTTGTTATATATTTTAAGAAATTTACAGGATTCAAACAATTCAAGAAATTATACTGTGGCTGTGGCATCTTATTATGTGGTCGCCCTGGCGAACTCTACAACAATATAGATACTTTAACAAGTATTTGATACTACTAAGATAATAATAAACTAACCCTGAAAAAATCATGCTTATAGCTGATAAATAAACACCTAAAATTCACAAATAAAATAAAAAATTAACAAACCTCTTCAATAATAGTATCCAATAAATGCGAGAAATTTGGTTAAAGCTCGAATGCAATTGTTCAAACCTTCAACGAATGAAGCATGGTATCTGACATGTAACCCTGATATAGCAACGCACTGGACAAGTAAAGGTAAGGATGTTGACAATTGTATAAAAGCATTTCGACTCAAAATTGCATATGGAGATGTGATTAAGATTTGGTTCTGTATATTCAGAGCTTTGTTGAATATTATATGAAAAGTTGTCAGTTAAAAAAAAAAAATTTTCACTACTGTTGCTCAATCCAGAAAGGCTACTTTCCTGACTTCAAAAAATGTATCTCTGCTCTAGATATTTATTTTTAATATTTGAATATTAAAAAAAATAACAGAAAATCAACAAACACTTCAATAATAATGTCTAATAAATGCAAGAATAATTTTTATTTTAAGCCCGAATGTGATTGTTTAAACCTTTAACAAATGAAGCAAGATGACTCTAATAATAGCAATGCGATAGTTAAGTAAGATAAGGATATTGACAATAATTGCATAAAAGCATTTCAACTCAGAACCTTTGCATATAGAGATGTGAGATAAATTATCCAATGTTAGTAAAAAAGAATTTGGTTCTGCAACTTTGTTGGATATTATACGAAAAGTTAACAAAAGTGATTAGTTAAAAAAATTTTTTTTAAAAAAATTTCACTACTGTTGCTCAAATCCAGAAAGGCTACTTTCTTGACTTCAAAAAATATATATCTGTTAGAATTCCAAAAAGTAACAGCGTCTTTGCATAAGGAAAACAATCTCAAAAAACAAAAACTTACTATTATATAACTACAATAAATTGAAAAGAGTTTACTGTTTAGAGTAGCCGTCAAGACAAACAGTTATGACAATGGGACATGTATAAAAAAAAAAATTAGTTACTGTTATTGAACAGAGTTGCAGAACAAAAGCCAAGAAATAAAATATATGTATATATATACATATGATACACATGCAAGGCAGAGTAGACAGTTATAACAACATATCGTAGTTTCATGTAAATGTATAAAAAAAAAAAAAAAAAAATTAATTACCTGAGTCGCAGAACAAAAGCAGCTGCAATTTGGCAATTAAACTAGTTGTGTAATTGTTTAATAATAACAATTATGCGAGTGTATACGTAAATCAGAAATCGATCATCGATTAGTGTTCTAAACTAATCGAGTATTTGAGTATTCGAGTATTCGCAAAATTTTTTATTTTTTTTGTAAATCCCGCTATTCTCAACTATTTCAAAAACAGCTGTAAATAGGTACATTTATATTCAGAAAATAAATTTGTCATAATATTTTTAATTCGTCATAATTAGCCCAATATTGCTGAGGTATAATAGTTATAAAAATTGTACAATTTTTTGAATTAATGCACAAAATTAAGATTAAGCAATTTTAGCGAATATATTTTTTTTTTTAATAGTTAAGGTTAGCCTCTTTGGCTTATCACTTTTATTAGATATTAGGATCATATGGTGCCCTTATCGAAGGGGCCCCAAACAAGTATATTCTGACGAAGATACATTCTAGCTATATCTGCACCTTTTGAGTGCCTAATTAAGTATACTACCTATGTGCTAGGTGCTACACTAGATGCTATACCTGTAACCCACTATTACTTGAGCTACCCAATTAAACCCTCTGATCTGAGTTTCCTATGTCAATCCATCTAACCTCACCCAAAACATGCGATATATAAGTCAGTCCAAGTTCCGAGATCGTTGCGTCTACCTATAGAACTACCAGCATGGTTAACCGATTCATTCTCGAGTGCATCACCTGCTAGAGCAGTCCAGTACCCATTATTCTCGTATTACCTAGTCTTCTTCGATAACTTATGCCTAGGCTGAGACCAAGTACTTGTGAGCCGAAGCCACTATCATTATCTACTACTGCCCTTATAGAGTTCATCCAAACCCCAGTACACCTACAAACTTTTCCCGGTCATCCCATCAATTCCAAACTACCAATTCAGATGGCCCGGAAGGGCTGTGATCTGCCCTGGTCCCCATGATTGGGTCCTTTTCGTCTGGTTACTCTTCTAGCAGCCTGGTTGGTGGAGTGCCTTGCTGAACACCTTGGTCCCGTTCAGTTTATCTGGTTCCCTAGGTAGTAATCTGCATGTAGTACTATCAAAGATCTGTACTACCTCTCTACTCGGGACTTCCCAAGTGAGCGCCCCACCGCTGTATTGGCTCCATGGCTTTCTGCGATTCCAAAGGACTTATCTTAGGTTTGCACTGACTAAACCGGCTTGTATGCCTTTGTATAACTCCTTTATTATACAAATGTCCCAGAATCTTCTAATTTTTTATCTTGATACGACCACAGTTACAGGGTCTTGAGTTTTCTCAGCCATGACAATAGTTGCCGAATCTGTTTTTCTAAATTCAATTTTTTGCCTTCTGTGGGAATTGAACTTATACTCTACCGCTTGGGGGGTGCGACAACTTCACCACTTCACTAAGTCGCCACACCTATTTTAGCGAATATTGAATTGATTATAATGAATTAAAACAATATGCTAAATAATATACAAAAACAGATTCAAATTAAATGATTGCGAATTTTCTAAAGAAATCGCTCCTATTCATTCTTTTTTAAAACATGAGCAATATTATATATCAATTGAAATACTTATATAATATTATGGTTTTAAAAATTTGCCAAAGTAATGAAATCAAGAAAAGCTGAAAGTGATTAGGATTACTTTATGATATATCTTGTAATAAAGAAGAAATTTGCATTAATTCAAATTAATTCAAATTAGGCAGAATATATTAGATATCATTATAATCCAATCACATTTACTTTTTGGTTTATTTTTATTGTAATAAAGAAAATCTGTGCTTTAATAAATGTAATAAACAATTTGAATAATTTATAAGTTATTTGCAGTAATTCAAATTTATTGAAATTTTTGAGAATTATTTTAAATTCTTTAATTTATTTATAATTAACATAAAGTTACATTAATATATATTTTACATTTATTTTGTTTTTGGAAGTAACCTAAAGCTAGTATAAGTAAAGATTTTTGTATTAATTCGAATTAATTTAAATAATTTTAATTTACTTCTTAAATCATCTGTGTTTATAATAACTATCTTAGATTTACAATAATTAACTTTTTCTGATTTTTTATTATTATAATGGTTTTAATTTATTTTCTTATTTTTAAATTTTTTTGAAATATTATTTACAGAATTTTTCGATAATTTTTTTGAATATTTTCAAAATTTTTCAAAAAAAAGGTTTTTTCGAATTATTTCGAAATATTTTATGCATTTTTTCATTTTTTTTTTGTTATGCAAATTTTTTTAAAATTTTTTATTCTTTAAAATTTACTAATGATAGTGTAACATATGAGTTATATGAATCTCAGATGAAGCAGCTAAATAAATCTAAGAGATCAGAGGATACAGAAGCCTAATTGAGAAGTTCTGAATAAAGAGGTAGCACAGATTTTCAACAGCACTATGTAAAGGATTATTATTTAGAAAACTAAACACCAAAAGCAAACTGAACAAGGATCAAGTATTTGGCAAACACTACACCAATCAGGCTGCCAGATAATCAAAAGTAAAGGATTTATTCAAAATATCAGAAGTTGTCTACTGGTCCCTTCTGGACCATCTGAATTAGAAGTTTAGGACATCGATAGTTAGCATTAAAGTACTGTTGATAGTTTATAAAGTAGATACTAGGGTTTGGATGAACTTTGCAAAAGCAAGAAGTAGATAATGTTAGCAGAAATAAAAAGCTGCAAGTATTTGGCTATGGTTTAGGCATAAGTTATCAAAAATCTAGATGTTCTAGTAGGTTTATCACAAGGATAAAGGACTCTCCTATATAGTAGTATATGTTCGCTTTAAAGTCCTAAGAGGCTTTCACAATAATTCCTTTTTAGGAAGAATATCTGACAGCACTAAGTTAATTAGAGTAGTAATACTTTCATTAATATTACAAAGTCATGGATGCTCACATAGTAGTTATCCTGACATTCGAACCATAAATTAATAAAATGTGCCAAACCTCTAAATAGTTACCTTAATATTAAAAAAAAAATAAAAATAAAAAAAATTACAGTATATATTGGTTTTAGTTTTTTATTTATAAAGTTATACTAAAACCAAATTATATAAAAACTTAACTTTTGAAAATATATACATAGAGGCTTTGTTTAAAGTTGAAGATAACTTTTTACAACAATAAGATAGTTCTAATTGCTACTAATACTATACAAGATAAGCTGCAACAATAACATTGATTATTGATCTGACATAGATTATCAAATCTAATATTGATTGTCAATCTGATATCAATCATCAACCTGAATATTGGGAGCCACCCTGATATATTCATAAAAAAATCAACAATA